AAAAGTACGACAGAAAGTCAGGTCACCTGTGGTTACAATGAAATGCTCTGTTTTCCCATACAGTATGGCAAACACTTAACAAATTACATAAAACTAAAACCATTAATTCACTAAGTGATTTGGTTGCAGCTGACACTGCGAGCATCAACCCATCTTACCAATGTCCTCCAACTTGGCCGATGCCTCTGTAGTCTTCCCTCACTCCTCTTCATCTTCCCCAGCGGTGCCATCCGTCCTGCACAAGTATAAAAGCAGCCTTTGATGCTACATGCTGTTGTGAGGTCCCAATTTTCCAAGAATGTCCAATCCCACTGGAGGAGGCTGTTTAAGCATATACGGAAACACTGCTGTCTTCAGGAAAACATCTGAAGCTGCACTTGACCCTACATTTCTGTGGAGGCGTTTTTATTTTATACACCTGTTCAGAGTGCAACACACGCTCAGACACTTTTCCCGCAGCAGTGGGGCCCTCCTGTAGGCAGACCCCAGTCCTTGCACAAAGCTTCTTGAAATCAGGCTGTACCCACAAGGCGACTCTTGCAAGAGGGAGGGCCAGCCCAGATGAAAAAAGGCACAGACCCTCGGCTACCAACTGGGACTCCTGCTTTGTCTCCTGCCAAAGCACAGATAGCTGCGGTGTGGGAAAGACCAGGAAAACATTCCAGCATGGCCACAGCTCTGGGTGTCATAAAATGGCAATGAAAAGCGACCTATGGAAACAGTTTTCTGCTAAAATGGGTGGGGGGGGAAGTCACAGCCCAGCCCTGTGAGCTCAAAGTATGCTGATGGTCAATTTAAACTATGTAGAAGAACAGAGAAGCAAGGCCACGCCTGTTCTGGTAGCTTCTGATAGTTCAAATGATTTAGGCAATGCTGTCTATATTCACGCTAGAGCCAGCAGGCAGAAATTTTCCTTGTGATGCCTCTGAATACATGATGTGACCAAAAATACCGCACATTTATAGTGGTGTTCAGTCAGGTCTATATAATGAACACATTTATGGTCTTTCTCAAACTGCGCTGAGGTTGATCACCTGAGCACAGAATAACTGAGTGCTGTTGGATCAGGTTCATAACAACCTTTCCCATGAGAAAGGTAGACACGTGCAGAAGTTAGCTCGTGACTAAAAGACACAACTTAGTGCCTGGAACAATAAAATGAAACAAGTACAAGAATGCGAGCCTTGGGGCCACCAATGGCTGTGAGGGGAAAAGGAGAGATCGTGATGGTGAGCGGGCTGGAGCTGACAAAGCTGCGGAAAGGGCAACTCTGGCATCTGTCTCCAAGGAGGAAATACAAGAGGGTGAGATTTGACAACCCCAGAAATCGCTGGGAACTCTCCTGTGGGCTGAAAGACAGAAAACCCAGCTGCCCGCCTGCCAGTGTGGCCCTGAGCCAAGCACGGGCAGCAGGAAGTGAAAAACCAGCAGAAAAACCAAGACTAAGGGACAAATTGCGTAACAGGTTGAAATAACACTGGGGGAGGCCCAAAGGTCACTAACTGTGTTCAGATAGGTCTTTGCATCCAAAATTATTCTGTTCCAAGCTTACCTGTGGCATCTTCGTAGATAGCTTCCCATACGCCATCTATTCCACAGAAAGGGATAAACTGCTGTCGCACGGGGACAACCTCACAATGCCAAAATATGTGTGTGTGAGGCTGCAAAGCATCATCTAGCAGCACAAAGCCAGAGTGCTGGGGAAAAACATGAACCCAAACTTTTAGGAGCTGCATCAGTGAATGGGAGGACAGAAGCAGGCCTGGAGTTGAAGATGCCACCTGCTTCTGAGTCCCTGCTTTTTCCCCAGTAAGCCAGAACAGATCATCTACGATCAAAAAATGTTAAAGACTGACTCCTCTGTAATCCCCCACAACTTCCCAGTAGGCTGTAAACACAAAGAAACCAGTGCTGAGCCTTGAAGATTCTGTAGCACGTGTGTCTTGAACAGGTAACCAACAACCCTGCATTCACTTTCCAAGAGGCTTCTGACAACACAACCCTCACACTGCAGAAGTAGCAGGTAATGGTAACAGGCTGGGGAACGACTCTAAACACGCTTCCCCATTTTCTTCCCAACTTCTGCACTTCCTCCAGTGCATTGACGATAACTTCCTC